AGTTTTGCTCAACCTTCACTTTAATTGGGAGTCTTTTCATACTTGCCACACATTCTAATTCCACGTTAGTGGAATGGATCTCAAGAATATAAAGTGGCTGCCTGTTTTGTTTCAAAAGTACATTCAACAACAGAACTCTTCTGACTTCTAGATACAGGATGAGCATTAAAAAGGACGTGTGCCTCTGCACAGCTTTACTCAACAGGCAGGACAGGCTTTGAATGAGTTTACGTTCTGGGAGGGAGTTTGGCTCGGGACAGGTCCATGTTTCCTAGGAGATCGGCCCTGTGTCAATCAATCCCCAGGAGATCGATTTTAACTGGTCTAGTAAAGACCCTCTAAATCAACTCCTGACCATCTACACCGGTACTTCACCTGAATGAGAAGTATAAGGGAAGTTGATGGGAGTTTGTCCCAGTGGACACCCCACAAAAATGCAACATAATGTACATCGTCTATTCACGTAGCTGGAGTTGCTTGCCTTAGGTCGACATTACCCGTAGTGTAGACCTGCCTTCAGCCTCCTCACAGACTGTTCTCCTCTTGCATCGATGCACTTAATAAGCAATGGAGATGTGATTCTGCTTGCAATTTCTGGTTCAGTTAATTTACTTAATTCCTGATTGGAACTGTCTACCGTAGAAACACCTTTTTCTCTTGACCTGGCACTACTTGACTTAACAGATCCCAGTATAGCTGTGCTGAGATACAACCAGACATTTAAATTCTTGCATGACTAGTTTAAGCAGTTTTTAGCTGTTACATATGTGTAAATGTTACAGCTGGAACTAACTCTGATGGCCAACGCACTTTTTGTTTCTCTTTACCAATTGTAGAGCTGTGCGAGAAGACTTGCAATGGGAAGAGAATAATCTACTGGGAAGTGAAGTACCCTTTCCCTTTGTCGAACAGAGATGTATCCTTTCAAAGCTCTTTTGTCCTGGGGGCTATGCAGCTTATTCAAGTGTTCGGATGCAGGCAGCTGTTAGAGTTCTTCTTGTCTGTTACTACAAGGGCTGAAGTGCAGAAAAGCCAAACCTGAAAAGAGAACTAAGGATTTAAAAATTTGATGGTTCACTATGTGACTCACTCACCTGGGTACCACATGGATTTCAGCAAAATATAGGTTTTTGAGTGTGTCTGCAGTATAAGACCTATAACCAGGCCTGCTGATGGAGGTGGGAATTGCCCTGGTGATTCAAAGGGGGTTGGGGCTCCCAGCTGTCGCTGCTGCAGCTGCGGCAGTGGCTGGAGCCCTGAGTCCTTTAAATCGCCACCTAAGCACCATGCCGCAAGCTTTGGGCAGTGCTGAGGACCGACTTCCCTGGCTCCACCCCTGCCACTTGAGGCCCTATTTCTTCCTGGAGTACGGAGTCCCCCGCTCCCCCCCCATACCCAGGCACCCCTTGAGTCTGTTGGCTAACCCACTGCTAATAAAGCAAATACTAACGTCCATGTAATAGACTGAGATGAAACCTACCTTGCAGCAGGTAAGGGATGGCCTTTCTGCTGTGCTCAGTGACTGTCAGGGCGGGTGCCAGATGTTTTGGAAGGAGTGAAGAGAACAGGGCAATTTATTGAGCAATCCATCCCATGTCCTCCAATCCCAGTATCTAGCAGTTAAGTTTAGGGACACGCACAACATGGAGTGGCATCCCTGACTATCTTAATTAATGGACCTCTCCTCCAGGAACTTATCTTCTTCTCTGAATTGAGTTATTCATCCTCTTTCGTGCATCTTTCTTAGCTTGAAATGCAGTATGTATACATTCGGGAACAGCGCAATATAGATGTTGATGGGCGGAAGATCTGGGTTGCGCTGGCTAAAAGCGTGTCCCTTCCGGAGTGCCCAGTAAATCCTGGGATTATCAGAGTAGAGGGTTACGAGCAAAGTCTGGTGATTGAGAGTGATGGCAAGACTGGATCCAAAGGTAAGAAACCGCACTTACTATAGCAAAGTGGAGCAAGCTTTCAAATATTATTCTGCATTTGTTCAGAACATGAAATGTAAAATCTCAGATGCCATCAAAGCAGGAGAGGCCAAGGAGTGGAGGATACTTGCAAAGGGTACAATAGAGATGTCTGCCGAGAGTTCTCTAATCGCTGGAAATCCGTTCTGAAAGAAGCATGCCTGGGAATGTTCCATGGGCTTCATGTGTTTGGAGCAGTGGATCTCAAGGTGTGGTCCGTGACAGCTTTGCAGGTGGGCAATGGGCTCAGGGCTCACCCCCAGCTGGTGCCCAAGCTCTGTGCCCCTCTCCTTGCAAGGTTGGCACGCCAGCGCTGGCTTCCTGCTGCAGCGGGGGGGGGCTCAGCTTGTGGGGGAAGGAAGTGGCTCTGCATACTGCTGCTCCTTCCCCTTCTCCCCCACCCCGCCAAGTGAGGGAACAGCAGCACAGGAAACCACTCTCCTGGAGACTTTTTCTGCTGCTCCTGTTGGCTGGAATCACAGCCAGTGGGGGCAGCAGGGATGGTGCCTGGGAGCGGCGGGGTGCACGGAGCCAGGTAAGCGCCTCCCATCCCCCTCATGCCCAGATCCTGTACCCCCATTGGTCTCTCAGCCTCTCCTGCTGAGACTCGGCATCCAACCTCCTCGCCGGAGCCCCCCTCTCCCTCCTGCACACTTCTGCACCCATTTTGTGATCATGGGTGGTTGGCTGGTGGTCCGCAGAATAAGGATGTTAAATTGTGTTTAATCAGCTAATTGAGTTGTGGATGGAATTTCCATCAATTAGTTGATAAGGGGGGAGCTGTGGAGCCACAGCGCCAAGAGCTAACCCCGCTGCTGCTCTGCCTTTTAAATGTAGTAAGAGCCAGGTGGCTCTTATTACATTTAAGAGGCAGAGATGCAGTGTCTGGGACCAGGACCAGGTGCAAGCCAGGACAGTGGAGTACTGGCTCATGCCTGGACCCCTGATGCGCCTCTGCCTGCCCTCTCCTCCGCCCGTGGAGATGGTGCTGGGCGGAACTGGCTTTTAACCTGTCTCCCCCCAGCACCGGCGTCTGCTCTGCCCTGCCCCCTGTATGCCTCAAATAGAGGCAGCAAGGTGGGGGGATTAGTTGAGTAGTGACTTGAGTACCCGATAAGCCTAGGCTTGTCAGGTAGTCGACTATTCAACTAATTGCTTACATCCCAACTGTAGAAAGGTCTGCATTGAGCAGAGTAGGCCATGGGCCAAAAAGCTTGAGAACCACTGTATGAGTGACAGTGATGTTGCCTCATTGGACTTGCACAATTTAAGAATGGACCATCAGATATTTCCCTCCTCTAAGTGGAGAAGAGATGTCATTCATTTAATCTCATTGGATATTGGGGTGTGAGTTTTTGTTAGTTAGTTAGTTAATCCTTCCTGGCATGATTTTGATCATTGACCTGATTTTGAAGTTTCTATAAATAGAATGAAGAATGTTTTGGGACAAAGTTTCTCTTTAAGGAAAAAATGGTAACAATGTGTGTCTAACATTACTATATACGGCTACATCCATCATTCCATAGTCGGGTAAAAACTGTGGGTGTAATCAATATAGCTTCAGTCAAGCAAGTAAACTGCTAATTATTACTTTTCTAACAAACTGTTCCCTTCTCTCTCCCTTTTAAGTTTACATGTATTACTTCGATAATCCTGGTGGCATGATTCCGTCTTGGCTCGTTAACTGGGCAGCCAAGGTAAGCAGGAAGCAGGGGGGCAACATATTTTTGTAGTGTCTAACTTGTTCCTGAGAATCCACACCCTAGATCCAAATCTGGCATCCGTAAATCTGACCAGATCAGCCCGTCGTCAAACGAAGTGTCCCCTTTTGGCCACTCTGTCGTCCAGGCCTCCATTCAGGTGGCTTTCTCCTCTTGTCTACTTTCACAAGTCCTTTCCCTGTATCTCAAGAAAGCTCACTCTTAATACGAACACTCAGGTTCATCCAGGAGGGACAACAGTTTTGCTGGGCCCCTGGACAATGTTCCCGCTAAGGTGCGCGCCTGCTCATCCGTGCATACGCAATTCTTCCCCCGCCCGTCTCCTCAGGAGAGCTGCTCAGGAGCACTCGTGCTGCAGGCTGCTCTGACGGGTGGGTCTGGCTGAGATGGTGTGATGAAGGAGCCGCTCGGGTGGGGGGCCGGGACCTGCCGCGGCCGCATGGTGGAGGAGAGGAGGCCTGCTCTGGTAGCTGGGGCTGCCACGTGTCAGGGGGGAGCCAGGGTCTGCTCTGGCAGCTGGGGCCAGGAATGGGATCTACCGTGTGGAAGGGGAGAGCAGGGGTCTACTCCAGTGGCTGGGAATTTGTCTGTTTTAATAAATTGGGTGCCAAACCCAAACCAGCGCACATGACCTCAATATTGGTGCACAAGCCAAAACTCACTCTGCTCATGGTTGGAAAATTTTAGAGGGAACACTGCCCTGGGACAAGGTTGGGGGAGGGGGCAGGGGCCTGGCTCTGCATTCCCAAAGGAGCATGGCAGGTGGCAGCCAGTTTTCAGCACCACCCGGTATGCCTCCTCCCTCCAGTCCTCATTGCTGCCTGCAGCATGTGGCACAGCGCCCCAGTGGAATTTTGAAGAGTCTGGGGCTCCTGCCACTGCCACAGGGGGGCAGGTGGGAGCCCCAAGCCCGTTAGAGTCTCTAGGTCCCAAGAAAATTGCCCCCTTGACCCGCCCTGTCGGTTGGCCTGATTCATAAGAGTTGCTTTTGCTCCACCGTGGACAGACAAACTCACTTTGCACTGTATGAGCAGGCAGCTGTAGTAATGGTTGCAAACACCTGAAATACAACGTGACGTAGAAACAAGTACAGAATGTCCTGCATTGTAGCCGTTAGAGTCTCTAGGTCCCAAGAAAATTGCCCCCTTGACCCGCCCTGTCGGTTGGCCTGATTCATAAGAGTTGCTTTTGCTCCACCGTGGACAGACAAACTCACTTTGCACTGTATGAGCAGGCAGCTGTAGTAATGGTTGCAAACACCTGAAATACAACGTGACGTAGAAACAAGTACAGAATGTCCTGCATTGTAGTGAATTTAATCTTTTTGTTAGAAGAACTGTCTTCTGTTACACTAAAAATATTTCAAAGGTAAAATGGTGTCTCTTTCTTTTCTGCAGTTTCTTTTGCTGGCATCATTAAAAAATAACCACTGTACACTTTCTTTTTTTAAACAGAGTGGAGTACCTGCTTTCTTGAAAGATATGCAGAGGGCTTGCCTTAATTATTGCAAGAAAACCTAAGTTGCTGCTTCGAGCCTGTCACTGAATTGTCCATTGATTTGGGTGTCCCACATTGGATGCTTCCAAGCCGGACTATTGTGAAACACTGGATGAAATCTACCTCCTGAGATACACTACTCATGAGTTAGGTTCTGTTGGCATATGCCTTTGAAATTGTTGAGCCTTTATATTTTTTTCATTTGCCATCTGTTGTGCTCTTCAGCTAGATAGCTGGCCATTCTTCCTTCAACTGCTGATGCAATTACTACCTGCTTTTCAAACGGTTTCCTTCCTTTTTATCTTATTCACTCCCCCCTCATTTTCTATATGCTTTCTACTGACAGTCACTTGAGGGGAACCCCGGCTCCTATTTAACTCTCAACAGAGGGTAGGTCCTGTTACTCCTTGTTGGAGATGAATACTTCTAAAATGGCAGCTTTTTAAAGTATGTTTCTGATTTGTGTGGTAAATTAGGTCTCTGTACACATTAGATAACCAGTTCTGGCATATGCAGCCTAGTTAATGTGGTCCTTCTGCCAAAACTAGCTGCCTTTTTGAAGGTGCTCTCAAATCTAATGCACTGGGTACTTTTCAGTATGTTTCTTCATCTCCTTACTTGCTAAATTTTATTGCTGAGAGCTGACATTCGTGGATCAGAAATGCATATCTTGCTTTCTGGCCATGCAAGTGGACAAGATTTTCTATATGTGTTGATAGATACCCTGTAGTCTACTAGTACAATGTTCCATTTGCTGTGATCAAATATTTCATTTGCATTTGGTTAAATCCCAGTAGTGGTATCTTTGCACCTATCACATCTCCTAGTTGGTACCTACCCATGCTTTTGAGAAGAAGATAGAAGAGACGTGCAATAAGTAAAGTTGCGATGAAATACGACAATGAGTCAGTTCCTTGTTCTGCTCAAATGAAAACCAATTACACACTAAAAGCCTATCAAGCACTTACCTGAAAGAGTTCTGTGAGAAACATATCTCCCATATCAACTTTAACTTGAAATCCCTTTAGGACTGTCCCAATATCAGAAGTTGTCAGGGAATCTCCTAAATGTTATGCCGGTGATTAACGTTAAGGTTTTGCTTCCTCATTCTTGATCCTGACATAGAGATCTTTAGCAGTCTTGGGGGTAGCTCATGGTTCCAAGGGTTACACAAGGCGAGAAGGCCAAGAACCAAACTTTCCAGCTACTGCTATAACTTAAAAGATCCTAGAAAAAGAGGGAAAATATCACATGCAGCAGCACCTCTGTGTGGGTGGAATATTGAAGGAAAACCATTTTCACAAAGGTGGTGATCTCAGGGACATAACACATGTGGTTAATCTGGCCATATGCACGACCTTCAGGAGAAAGGCAAATCTTCTCAGTGACTAACAAGACCTACAGTCATGTCTGTATATAGAAGTAATGGCACAAGTTATTTGCCTTTATACTATACTTCACATGCTCTGAATGGTAGTTGATTGATAAATTAAAAACAAAACGTTGAAGTTACAGACTTATACGAGTAGTGTTTTTTGTGCTTGCTATACAATTTTTGCTGCTTAATCTCTTGGGCATATAACTGAGCCATGGTCATCCTGGCTAATGGCATAGAAGATCATCAGTTGCAGTTCAACTTGAACACTGGGTGACATCTTTGGAGAGGTGTGAGTAAATAAAAATTGTTGTTTAACTTGTAAGCAGTAATCATTGTCAATTATGAACACAGAGAGCTTCTCCACTAGAGAAAATACCACAAACTACTAAAATTTGAGAGTTTGACTGTTGGTGCATGAGTTGTCTGTTTGTTCAAGAACTCTTCCTATACAGTATGAGCTAGGATAACCAAATTTGGTATACAGCTTCATCTTATCACAACTTTCAGCAAAGTCATGGTTTGGTTGTGCCAGGAAAATGGGATGAACCTGGAATGGGATTGCATGTTTTAAAATGATACAGAAGAGAGACAGAATCACCAGGGCGTGCCTTGCCCCCCTCTGAGACTTCCCCAGCCCTAATTCTCCCACCGTCCAGGCACCCTTTAGGGAGAGCAGGAGAGGCTGAAGCTCACCTCCTCCTGATTCGTACGGACACATTGCTGGCTGCTCTCCTTTGTCAGGGAGTGAGGGAAAAGTGCACAGTTGGCTGCAATCCTCACTTTGGCGGGGGAGTGCAGGTGGCAGATGAATTTAATTCTGTTTTGCAACAGATCCAACAGGCTTGCAAGTTCCTCACCATACGATGTTGTGTGTGGTTGAAGTCCACTTCTCTACAGACTTATGTCAACGCAGATACACCAGTAATTAATTTGATTGGATTTTCTCTGCCTTGTGCTGATTGGCTGCTTTGTTTTAATCCTCTCTCTCCACCTCCCTCATAGTCTCTTCACCCCACACCTGCCCCTCTAACTCCACTTTCCTCTTACCCTGGCCTCTTCCACCTCCTTCTCTTTTTTCCATAAGCTTAACCCTGCCCAAATGAGCCCATCCATAAATCAAAATAACACTGCATTTTCTCCCCTCCCATTGTTCACTCTGTAGCCTACAGTGCTAACCTGCTTGCTTGCCTGTTGATCTATAGATTTATTATTTTCTTATGGTTTTGATTGTTTATTATTTAAAGCAGATTTATATTGGCAACTTGGCTATAATGCAAGAGACTTACAGGCCACATCCTGTATGTTGAGCTGAGGCAAAGCTAGCACGCATGTGTCTGGGACACTCGTATTTGGGACCTTTCACCTAAATAAAGCAACCTTCAAAGGCATTAGGGGCTTCCAACAATGCGTTCAGACTTAGCAGGTACAGCATTATTGGAAAAACCTGAAATAAGACCAGCGTTCCCTCTACGCCATGGGTTCCCAAACAGGGGGTGTGTGAAGAAATTTCAAGGGGGGGTGAAGTGACCCAACCCCCTCAACTCCTGTCAATCCCCCCTGCCCTAAATTTTGCTGCTGTTTTTATTTTTTAGACCCGGTCAGTTATTTATTTTTATTTTTTTTTTCCCCCTCAAGTTTTGCTGCTATGGGGAGGAGCGGAGCCGGGGAGGGGGGGAGTTGGACATGAGGGTTTCTCAAAATCAAAAAGGTGGCATGATGCTGAAAAGTTTGGGAACCTCTGCTCTAGGCCATGTAGCCCCACAGCTGCTTAATGAGCCCCGCCCAGCCAGGGGCTCAGGACTTGTGCACTGAGCTGCCCTGCTGCGGGAGGGGCACTTCTCCTTCAGTGACAGCAGCAGCTCCCTGCTGAGGACAGAGCAGCAAGGAGCCCAAGCTGCTGCTCTCGCTGAAGGAGATGTGCCCCTTCCCCAGCCAGGCAGCAACTCTTGACCCCCTGGCTGGGCAGTGCTCATTAAGCAGCTGCCGGGCCGTGCTGCCGTGTGGCTTAGAGGGAACTGTGGTTAAAACCAGACTGAAATAACAAATGTGATAATTAATTACCATGGGCCTTTTATGGTTGACTTTTATGGTAATACATTGAGATCAATAACTTACTGACCTAAAGGAAAAAGACACTTCACCATTAGTAAGGCAAGGGAAATACAAATAAGAAAACATCCTCTACTGAGTATGTATCAAACATACCGTCAGCGTAACAGAATATAGAATTGGCATCCCAGCCTACGGGTGGTAGAAGGAGGAGATGTTGTCCTGGGGAGGTGTCAGAATAATGGAGGGAGATGATGGTGATGAGGAAGATAATGGCTAACACCTCAGGTTTTTTTTAGAAGAAAAATGGCGTGAGTATATGGTAATCTAGATCAGGAACATGAATCTATCTTGTGAAGTTGGGGTGTGTGTGACTGCTAAAATATATGAATAATCATATATTTACAAATATAAAGAGTTCCTATATTGTGAGTGTTGCAACTGCACATCAGGGTTTCCAGTCATGAAATCATTACATATTCCTGATCCTGGGACAAAGGACTTGTCAACCCTAAAGGGGGTAACTGGAAATTCATAAGTAGTCTAAGATCAGGCAACACCTTGGCTTGTTCGTTCTGCCCTTTTCTCTCCCACCTTGCATTTTTGTCTATTTAGGGTGTACGTTTTACACCACAGAGGCTGTCTATTATGGGTCTCTGCAGTGCTTAACACAATGGGGTCCCATTCTTAGTTGATGCTTAGGCACCACAGTAATAAACATAATGTTGCACGACAGGCACATGGAGAAAGGGTTATCTCTCTGTGCTCAATGGAGTGTTTGGAGGTTCTGAAGGATGTTAGTTAACTGTTTCCACCTCTTTGGTAACACTAACATGAACTCAAAATGCTGCAGTTTGAGCTCATTTAAATGTCATTCACTTTGTATTTTATTGCTCCTATCTGAATAAGTCCCATGATTATGGGAGAGCATTAGCCTTATTTTCATTTCCAGATACATTTTACTGTGTACAAAGATTTATATCCCAAAATTTTTGTAAAAAAAGTGCATACGGTGTTATGACTTTAAAAAAATCCTCACGAGCAGGATTTCTGGGTTGACACTCTGTCGTGGGTTCTTGAAGTCAGATTAAATGATGAGGTAATGAACTTTTCTGGCCTTAATCACGGATTCATCAAATTTAATTGTTAAAGAATTGAAAGTTTCTCTGGTCTTAAAGAGAGTTGAGGAGGAAACTGGTGAGATCCTATATATTTCTCTCCTGTGGAACTTTAGTACCTCTATCTGAAAATGATGAGGAGCCTTAAGAAAAGGTAAATCTACCCTAGTTTTTCAGAATGGATTTCTGTGTGCTTCATGCATACTGCAGGAGGCTTTTAAATAAACACTTGCATTATAGCACTGGTGTTAAGAGAAAATATACCCCTGCAGGAGTTTTGCTTTTCGTTTTTACAGAATATTTTTTGGGGGGTGGGCGGAGAGGTGTGACTTTAACTCTGCTGCTTTCAAAACTGTTGCTTCATTTCAGATGTTGCAAGCACATTCTCCTACTATATGTAGGATAATCGTGGTGTTTTTATTATTTGCCTAAATTGTGATGTACACAACCTAGTGAGGTGGCTAAGGTATGTAAAGGGTCCATGCTATTGTCTGCATAACTTCAGAATATTCAGTCTACCTTTTGGTTAGCCTCCTATCTCATTTCTCGCCGGGGCCATTAGCTGCATCTTCAGAGGAAGATAAAAAAACAAACCTATAATGTACCTAGCGCTGTGCAATTCTGTACAATAAAATCCTTCCCTTTGTAGACAAGCCTTTCATTGAAGCAAAAGACTTGATTACCCTTATTATTATCCAGGCTTGACCTGTTCCCAATGGTGTTTAAAGGTCTTACAATTTCTTCATTCTCTTTTTAAATCCACAGTCCGTCTCTACCTGCTGTGGCACTGAATTGCCCAGCTTGGCTATTCAGTTCATGAGGTACTTAAACCCTTTATTCCCTTTAATTTGATCAAGCTTTCCCTTTGTTCCCACATTATATAACAAAATCTCTGAAAGGTGGTGGTACACTTCTGTGTACCTTTGTCTCCCATGCGTGCTGTATATGGAACTAGACTGAACAGCTCTCAGTGTCTGCCAGGTTGTTCTCGCTAAAGCAATGTACTGTGGCACTGATTGTGTTCATCTGATTTCTAGAGAGGTTTAATATAAAGGATGGAGAGTGGAAATTTTCCCAAAGGCTTGTAGTTTTTCTACATTTCCCTTAGGTTCTAAGGTAATACCAAGACACAAATGCTTCATAAAAGACAAGTCATTGGACACTTCTGTACCTACTGTAGAAAACAGGTGCTTTGGCAGACAAATCTGGGTTCTTTCTGGTGTGTGTATTTTCCATACGCCTCTGCAATTCCAGTTATGTAGTTCCCATACTGAGACCGTAGAAAGTGGTGGCATGGTCTCAATAAATTGTGTTTGAACAATCGGGGGAAAGCCAGAAACTGCAAAGAGATGGCGGCTTGGGAATGTTCACTTGGGTCTTTCCATAAGGGGGAGTACACATCTAGTGGATTTAAGGGAGAGGGGGTGCGAGTGGGAGGGGGGGGGGGGGGAGAGAGGCGG